ATAGTGTGATTACAGCTTTAAGACCACTTTTATCAACTCCGATTAACTTAATCGACTGATTAATCCATTGGAATTGACCAATCGCGTCTGTTATCAAAATTAAATGATAAATGCGATTGGTCAATCCTGCAAAGTTACTGGAATGGTTGAATTTGATGAAAGTCGCCCTTGAAAGCAGCAAGCGAATCGACCAATCACAGTACAGACGTAAGATTTATATGTGAGTGATGGCGATTTTTTGTACCAATTAAAATCTTAAAACCCGATCTACATGCAGAATGCGTATCGCGAATCGCAAGCTTGTTGCCAATCCGATACGCCAATTTTGATTTTTAATTCGTAACAAGTTCAGCAATATTGCATACAGTCTGTCTACTTCTACGGCCTATTACTGCGTGTTATATTTTATTTATTATAACAGAAAAAACTACTAAATGCTGTCATCTAACGGTACATCACTCGAATTTTATATTGCAGGCAATCGATAATTTTTCCGTTGATATTACATTTTTATATCTATAATATGAAATTGTGTGACAATATATTTATCTTCTGCCGTGCAATGACTTTTTTATCGACATATGATAACTCTATAATAAAAGCTAATATAATTATCACATATCGATAAAAAAGTCATTGAGCGGCAGAAGGTAAATATATATATTGTTATAATAATAATTATACTATAACTATATAGTTATTCTCTGTTATTCATAATTTTTAAACTCTTCCCATTGAAAATTATCATATCTTTGACATTTTCATATTAGAATTTTCGTCTTAAAATGTTACAAAAAGTGTGTCTTTAAAATATTTGTCGTTGGTGATGGGACAATATGTATATTCGCACGTATACATTTGTATTTCACCCGTAATACTGGTAACGGGTATATCTAAAAGTTGATAATATCGACGCTCTTCAATTTTATGTTCTTCAAAAGGACTCCCCAACAAACTTCGTCTTTGATGGGGCACAAAAATTTACCCTGGACCGCGGCCTTTAATAATATTTTGTCGGTAGTAATAATAAGTATTATAAATGTATTTACAAGAATGCAATTATAATACGGACATCCCAAGTTTCTGCTTCATGATTCTGTTGATCATTTTAATCATTTTAAGCTTATTCCGTGCGATTTAAAATTTACATTAAAAAAAATTAAACAATAAATGCGCGTTAAGGAAATGCTGTAGTGACCAAATTGTTGACATTTGCAGAACGATCTCAGAAAAATCTCCGAATTTACTAAACAGAATCAAAGAAAAAATACTAATATCAAATTGTAAGCGCCAAATATTTGGACGCACCCTATTATTTAAATGTGATTCACTCGCACACTATATAGCAATCACTACCAATCATAGCGACTTCTGAGTAGGAAATTTTTTTTTGTTTTTTTTTTAGTGATTGGTCTGTATGCAATTGGCTCGTTGTGTGCAATGAGATCTGGTTATTTGAAATCCCCAAAAATTTTTGAACTTAAAATGAGATAGATATATATATTTGGACATTGAAAAGAAAGAAAACAAAGATACTAAGTTCAAAAAGTGTATGCAACGCGGAACACAGATCCTATTGATATATGTTTATACATACACTCAATTTAAAGAGCTAGCGTGTGCCGCGAACTTGATTAATGTCACGTGAGACACCATGGAGTTGCGTAACTCACCGTGTTACATCATCCTTTAATCAACCCAGCGCGAGCTAACCTATCCATGAGTTTATCCTTCGCATTTACGTGTCGATTTAAAGGAGAGATTAGCTCCCGCTGTAAAACGCGACATGTCGGCAATCCGCACGTGAACCTATCTGTCCGATTGAGAAACGTTGACCCATATCAAGCTGCGAAGATGTTCGTCGACCCTTCATCGCGTCTCGCAGCACGAACTTGAACTATTTCGAGTCGTACGTAATGCGTTAATCGTTTATTTATAAACGTCGCGGTATCGTTTTTCCAGCCGATGTTTACTTGGTCTCCGCACACTCTCTCGTATAATCACAAAATGTGTTAAGCCTCCTCTTTCTGTCACTCCTTTTATCCATTTCCGTTGTATATGAATTATGGACGAGGTTTGGTTTCATCTCTCGAATCAGCTCGAAACGTTGCAGGTAATTGGCTTTGCCTCCGATTTTTCCGCGCTTGCTCTGACGATTGTCGCTTTATATAATATTTTAAGTTTTTTAGTTAATTTGACAGTTACAATTTTATAGATTTGGAAAAAATCTTAAAATATTCTGTAGATATTATGTTGCCTTTGTTTTTAAATTTTACGTTATATTGTAATTTGTGTTTAACTTAAAGGATAAATGTATATATTTTATGTTAATTTTATATAAACTTTATAGTTCAATATATAACATTTTGGTGTGTCAAACTTAATGCATATTTATGCAAATTATTTGGCATAAAATATTCATAGAAATCTTAATATACTTCATAAAAAAAATTTGGGGAAAGGTTCAGACATCAGTAGCAGTGCAACAGGGACAGCAATGGTGTATAACATGGCTAGCTCAGTTACGACAATTTATCCTGCAACTTTGCAACGAGCAACATGCTCAGTATGTCAAAGACACTGCGCTACAAATGGCTGGTTCTGTACAAAGAGGATGGCAAGAAGTTCAGTTTCAGTATTACAATACTCAATGGAATTCAATAGATTTTTATCACCAATTAAGAATCTTATGTGCTAATAAAGGTATATTGAATATTCAAATATGTTTTGATACTTCTCTATGTAGTACTAAAGTTGATTTTTATCAGACATAAGGCTGTTTATATTCTGTCTAGTGTCAAGGAGAGAAGCAATATTTTGCTTGACAGGCATAGTGATTGGAACCGTAACGGGCTATTATGTCGGTGTAAATTGGAAACCTACCTCTCAACACATACATCATATAAAAACTATTGCTTGTCATCATTATTATGGTATTGAGGTATATCATACATATAACATCATATTATGATTTTGAATATAGATATAGATATTTATGTAGATTGGTATTCACATAATTTATTCTTATTTTATGACCGTCTTAAATAATGTTAAGATGCTAACATGGAGCTTTGATTGGCTTGTTATATGACTTAAGACGATCTTAAATATAAAAATAAACTATGAATACCAGCCTTACTATTGCTACAGGGTGTGTTATTGATAGACGATTCCGAAATGCCAACGATTAAAAGATCGAACGAATTGCTCATACAAGTTAAAGCCGCCTCACTTAATGTTGTTGATACAAAGATATGCTCTGGTTATTCTAGAATTTATAGAAGATTACTTAATTCAGGAGTAAGTAAACTTTCTCAAGAGCCCACCGATATCTGGTAAAACAAATTATCATTGTAATCAGTAATGCATGATGTATTTAGAAACAGAAAGAACTACCTGTAACTTTAGGGAGAGATTGTGCGGGAGTGATAGTCGACATTGGACAAAGCGTTGTTAATTTCGATATTGGAGATGAAGTATTTTTGGCCGTTCCATCATGGGCTTCTGGTACGATGGCGGAATATATAATTGTTCCAGAAACGCAAGTAGCAAAACGGCCTAAATCATGTAACTTTGAAGCTTCTGCCAGCCTGCCATATAATGGATGTCTGGCGTGGGATGCTTTAGTTAATAGATCTGTCATAAAAGAAGGCAATGCTAAAGGAAAACGGTAATACTCTTGATGTCGAATTTCTTGTTCCTCATATCTGAAATATCAATTAATATAAGACTGTTATTGCTTATTGTTAGAGTTCTCATTTTCGGCGGAAGTACTCCGATCGGTTGTATTTTGATGCAATTAATTAAATTATGGGGTGGATATGTGGTAACCGCCTGCCGAACGGACGCCATGCCTATAATGAAGGCATTGGGTGCCGACGAAGTTATAGTAATAAACGAAACTGACGTTGAGAAAGAATTACAATTGCATGATAAGTACGAAAAAGTTTTCACGACACAATATTTATAATACATTAAAAATTGTCTTATTTAAATAAAAGAATAAAAAGTATAGAGTACTCTTTGATTAGTTTGGACTTAATTTCATTACAGGTACGACGCCATTTTTTATACCGATAATCAACCTTTTCAAGAATATATTTTAAAGAAACACTTATTACCTCATGGCTCGTATGTATCAACTGTTCCTGAACAATTGACGTCGGACTCGCTGGGATTTATTTGTGGAAGCATATTTGCTGGATGTGTTAGAATAAAATTATTGGTTCAGGTATTTTAATTCATGCTAATTCAATAATTATTGTTTATGATGTATTACTAACTGATACTTTAAATTGTAGTATATGTTTGGATTTAATATGCATCAATGGAAGGAAGGGGCAAAGTTGAACATCGCATATTTGCGAGCATTATGCGAGTTGACCGATACTCATCATTTACAAACAGTTGTGGACAGGGTGTACGCGCCATATAATATCGAGCGAGCATTGCTCCATGTTTTAGACCCGAATTCTATTGGTAGTACAATTATAACATTTCAGTAACATAACTTTGGAAAAAATTTATATCGCGACTATATATAGATATACTATATATCTCTTGTACATAACAATGTATAATTTTGGCGGGTAATCACTGCCATACTGTTAATAAATATTTACATCATTGCAAACCAAGAAATAATTAGTTAAAAATAAGTAGTTCACACTTGGTGCTAAAATAAAGACTGACATGATACAATTAACAGACATAGAATACTTTGTTCTAAATTCCTGCCAAATTATTATTAAGAGAGAAAAAGAGAAGTTATATAGAAATATTAATAAAAAATAAAGTGATATGAGGATATATAATGAGACAATAAATGTGCGATGATATGCATGAATTTAAATAATATAACAATGTTTGAAAATTTTTATAAAAATATGCTGTGAAATATGTTAAAACGCTCACTATGATGAGAAATTTATAAAAATATATATTGTACAAATATTGTATATTTTATGAAATAAATAGAAAAAAAATCATATCATGTTTGCCAGTTGAAAATGCAGTGTAGTAATTTATAAATACGCGACACGTGTATCAACTGTATCGAGATAGCGTTTTATACAAAAGTACACTATTAGCATTGCTATACGTTCTTATCAAATTTACAAAATTACTCTCACTTTGCTTTACCGCGAAATTTGCTGTTACCTGCCTTTGCTTTTTTAGCCGGAAGTTTTTTTTCTTCTGCCTATAAATGTAAAGAAAATCTTATTTAATCTCTTAATATATTAAGTAATAAAATAATATTAAAATAATTTGTTCGAAAGCTATCTCACCTTTCGCTTTGGAGTCGGAGTTGAATTCGGTAAAACTTTGAAAAATGAATCCAATCGGCCTTGCGTAGACGTGTTTCGAGCCTTGTGAAGTTTTTTGGCTCCGTTTCTAACACGTTCCTCGTTAAACTGCTTGTCACCACACAAAAATTTCACCAATCCCTCTTCATCGGGTTCGGACCATTTTAACTTACAAAATAAAAGAATATTTAATACATGTAAGTTACGCAGATAAAAATATAATTCAATGCAAAAAGTTACCTGGATGTCATCTGAATTCGACACTTCTGGTTCTTGAAACAATAATCTTGCCTCTTTGTAATTCCAATCTTCCGGAATAGGATATTTCTTGATATCTATGTTTTCGATAATTTTTTCAAGAGACCTATGATTTTTTATTAACTCTATTGCCCTTTTTGGACCAACCCCTTTGATACTATTTGTATAATCGCAACCCAACATAATACAGAGATCAATAAACTGTAAATAATATTACTTATCAAATAATGTTACTTCAGAATAATTAATAAATCAATTATTAAATAAAAACAATTCAAATGCATACTTCATTATGATTTAGTTCTAAGCCTGCAAGAACTTTATCAAAATGAATCTCCTGTACTGGCAACTTCCTGGCTTCGCTAAAGGTTAAACGTCGAAGTAGCACATTGCATCCAAAAGTGAGCGCATCCATATCCTCCGTAGCAGTGGCAAAAACTTTACCGGCTTTCACTAAAGCGGCACACTGTGCTTCAGCCTCGCAAGGAGCCTGCATAGAAAACATTTATTGTAGAAATAAATAAAAAAAGAAACCACATAATTTCACACAAATACTTACATCAACATAAGGTATACCCATTAAATGAAGCAATTCTTTAGCTTCATCAGCATGAGTTTTCGTAACTTTAACCAATCTCCTATTAAATTTGTCAATAGCTTCCACATTTCCTTTAATAAAAGATATGTGCTATAGAGAAATTTGTTGTGAACTCCATAATAAATCATTTTTCAAGTATTACTACAGTAATAATAAAATATAATTTGTCATTACCATCTTCTTCGGCAGCCTGCAGGAGTTTCTGTGCCTCATCCCTTCTTTCAGCTCTTTTAGCTAATTCTCCACTTTTCAGATTGGGTGGTTTTCCATCAAATACATATACAGGCTTTATCCCCTGTTCTACCATGCGTATGGTACGATAAAACGTACCCATTAAATGGCTACAAAGTTTACACAGTCAATAATCTTTTGTTAGCTGCCTTTTTGAGGTAATTTTTTGTGATATAAAAATTTGACATTATTTATATAATAATAAAAGATTGTTGTGCAATTAAGAAAAATGTACCTGGTTGTTTCACCATCTACAGTAGTAAGCTGCGCTCCTTCACTACGGACAGCTATAAGGAACTGATACAAACACATAGATGCATCAATAGCAATCTTGCGACCTGCAGGCAAAAATAATTCCATAATTCCGATTAAATGTTAATAATATAACAGAATTGATAATTGATCACGAAGATTGACAGATTATAAAATTTCATCTGAGATGTGTAAGATTTGTGGATTGTAATTCATGGTTAAAAGCATAAAGTTAAACGTAAGCAGGCAATAACTTACCAAAATAATGCTTTAATTCTCGTTCTTTGATAGCTTCCGGAGCTACGTCTGCTATTAACTTTGACAAGCCTAGAATACCCATGTCGACAAAATGTTTATCATGCACGTAGGAAACTGATAATACGTTACACAGACACACATATGACAGCAGTCATTTTCCAAGAGGCAGCGACAGCGACAGCCTCTCTTCCCGCCAATTTCCGCAATATAAACAAAGCAGCAGTCTAAAATGTACAATGTTGCCAATCATGAAATAGAAGTACAAGTTGGCAATCATGGAAAACGCTGTTTTCACACGATATAATTCATATGTGTGTCCACGTGTTATCCGTATTCCGTCATTCCGTGTATCAATCCGTATATCAATAAGAAATGACGAGTAACTGCGATTTAATAAGAACGATTGAGGATGATCAGGAGGTGCCGAATTATTCGGAGAATTCGGATGAGGAAGACGACGTAAGCAGAAACAAAAGCTTATATTAAAACAATGCAAACTATTTTTATTAAAAACATTTTTATTTCATAAAATGCTTCTTTTCATATTTTTTGTTAGCGAATTCAGTCACTTGCGTTACTTTAGATTAGTGTAGCTTTTAGTTTGCACTAATTTAATGTAATACAAGTGACCAAATTCATTATATGTTTTTTCCTCAATTCTGAACTGTTTGTCAGTTTCAACCACGAAAGCAGAAAAAAAAAGAGAACAAAGATTTTGACAAGGGTTTCCAATTCACTTCTGCTGAGCACAATCTGGATCCTTGGAATGACCTGAGCAAATATATTAAACGCAAACCGAGCACAAAATTAGATGATAAAATAAAAAAAGCCAGGAAAGAATATGAACAGGTATGTATCACATTGTTTATATTATTTGTAAATTATAAGTATGTAATAAATTGTACTTAAAATTTTTATTGTTAAAATTGTGAAGTTATGAACAAGAATTTGCTATTATAATCACTAGGCTGGAACAGAGGACGATCCTATTAAAATTGAACTAGAAACTGTTCAGGATGATGATGTAATTTCTCTATCCGAGGATGAGCTTAAAAAAGGTAAATATAATTCATTTTGTTTCTATTATATAACCAAAACAAAGAAATAGAAATTATGATTTTAATGTATTTGCATTTGCATATATTACATCTATTACAAGGTATATTACAAATTGATTACATTATATTTTATTTATATTTATATTATTATTTTAAAAGTAATATATAAATACTTATTTTTCTTATTGATAGTTATAGATATTGATAATTATAGATTGATTGATTATAGATATCTTTAAGACTAAGGAAAAGAAAAGCAAAATGAAAAATATGAAAGAAAAGAACAAGGTTATCGATTTTGAGGAACATACAGATTCTCAAACATATACTACATTTTATCAAATGAATTTGTCAAGACCTTTATTGAAGGTATACAATATTATTAATTATTTAATAAAGTAGTAATTAATTCTCTATTACAGCAATGCGAAATTTTCGCCCTTTGCAGCCTGGGTCTCCAAACTTTAGTGCAGATTTTATATTGGTTTTTCATTTGTCTATCAGAATTTATTGTACAATTAAAAAAGTCACCTGTTTAAAGTTTAATATTACCGGTGGAAAGTTAAAATATATATATAAAATTATCATTAAATATATAATAAAATAATCTATCAAAACTGTAGTAGTATATAATTACTGATTGACTTTACAAACTTCTAGGCTATAACGACAATGAATTTTGTACAACCAACTCCCATACAAGCTGCTACTATTCCTGCAGCTTTAATGGGTCGTGATATTTGTGGTTGTGCAGCAACGGGTACAGGGAAGACTGCGGCTTATATGCTTCCCACTTTGGAAAGATTATTGTATAGACCATTGGACGGTCCTTCTATTTCGCGTGTTCTCGTACTCGTGCCTACTAGAGAATTGGGAGTGCAAGTTTATCAAGTAACAAAACAATTAACTCAGTTTACAACAATAGAGGTTGGTTTGTCTGTTGGTGGGTTGGATGTAAAAGTCCAGGTGAATATTATATCTTTTATAAATTTCTTTTATGTAAATTATCAAACAAAAACAAGTAACATTCTTCATATTTTTTTTTTTACATGAATACAGGAAGGCGTATTGAGAAAAAATCCTGATATTGTAATAGCAACTCCTGGACGATTAATTGATCATTTAAGAAATGCACCTACCTTTTCCTTGGATAGTATAGAAGTATTAATTTTGGATGAAGCTGATAGGTAATGTATAAATATATTTTTATAATACAGAGTTAGGTAGTGTCTAACTAAAAAGATAAAAGTTAAATAATGATACAGAAGGAGGGCTACGAAACTAATAAATTCGTTTAATTTAACAACGATGAATACATATTAATAATTAAACAAACGTTTTGACTTCGATCAGATCATTTTCAATGTTTAAATATTTAAATTATAACGGTCGTAATATATATTAGTGTATTCGATTCTCTGTGTTTTTGTGTCCTTGACTGACTACTTATAATATAGATTTCTTTGTCTTGATGATGAATGTAAAATTCTTATTTGGAAGATTATAATTTAATATAATACTTTTTTGTTCGTTATCGCAGTAATATTTCATAACCTTGGTAAACGTTCAAAGCAAAAATATGAATTCTTAATAACCTTTAATTAAGATTGATATAGATAATTGTAAATTTGTATGAATTATATGATATTATAATGAATATGCATTATATACTATGATTATGAACTATGATTTTTTAAGGATGTTAGATGAATATTTTGCTGAACAAATGAAATATATTGTAAAGCAATGCTCAAGGACCAAACAGACTATTCTCTTTTCTGCTACCATGACTGAGGAAGTCGAAGATTTAGCTGCGATATCTCTTGACAAACCTATTAAAATATTTGTGGATAGCAATCAAGATGTAGCTTTCAATCTACGTCAAGAATTTATTCGGTAAGTAAACTGTTTGCAGTTATTGGGTATGTTAAGTTAGCACCCCAACTATAGTACTCAGGAGTTCTGATTAGAGTTCCCACTTCCTTTTGACGAGATGAAGAGTTCCCTATAGTTAACAACAAGAGTTCCGCTCAATAAACATTTTTTTTACATATTTTAAAAATGAGGTGCTAACTTTTTATCGAATTTCAAGGTGGAATAGTTCTGAGCGGCTTAATAGCTTCAATTTGCGATTGCCTAGAGTTCCTGATATGTAAAAAAAATTTTCGAATATTAAAAAAAAATTAAAAATTTTTGAAAAATTAATTTTTAGATACAATAGTTCTGATGATAATTCCTGCTTCTTTTTGACGATACGAAGAGTTCTCTATGATTTTTAATGACATATGCGCTTAATAATCATTTTTTAATAATTTTTTAAAAATGGGGTGCTAACTTTTTAACGAAATTCAAGGTCGCATAGTTCTGATCAGCTTAACAGAAGTATTTTGTGAATACCTAGAGTTCTTAATACATAAAAAACATTTTTGAAGAATAATAAAGTTTTAAAAAAATAGTAGAAATCTTTGAAAAATTTTTTGAGAGTACCGAGTAGTTCTGAGTAGCGTTTCTTATAGTACTTGACGAGTTCTATCGAAAACTGCAAGGTGGAAAAGCGATTGGATCAACGGTTTGCAAGATACAGCGACATTTGTCAGATCAACAATTTTTTAAGTGAGTATATCTCGGAAACCGTTGGTCCAATCGTTTTGAGCCCTCATACTTTTCGACAGAACTCGCTGAGAACTGCCCAGAACTCCGATCAGAACTACTCGGTACTCCCAAAAAATTTTGACTTCAAATTTTTTTGTATGTCCCATATCGGAAAATTTTTTGAGAGTACCGAGTAGTTCTGAGTAGCGTTTCTTATAGTTCTCGACGAGTTCTATCGAAAACTGTCAGGTGAAAAAGCGATTGGACCAACGGTTTGTAAGATACAGCGACATTTGTTAAATGTAAGATCATACAATTTTTAAATAAGTATATCTCAGAAACCGTTAGTCCAATCGCTTTAAGCCCTGATACTTTTCGACAGAAGTCGTCGAGAACTGTCCAGAACTCCGAACAGAACTACTCGGTACTCCCAAAAAATTTTTGATCAAAAATTTTTTCCAAGTCCCACGTCGGAAAATTTTTTGGGAGTATCGAGTAGTTCTGTTCGGAGTTCTGGACAGTTTTCGGCGAGTTCTTTCGAAAAGTATGAGGGCTCAAAGCGATTGGACCAATAGTTTTCGAGATATATTCTAAAAATTGTTGATCTTCTGACAAATGTCGCTGTATCTTGCAAACCGTTGGTCTAATCGCTTTTTCACCTTACAGTTTTCGATAGAACTCGTCGAGTACTATAAGAAACGCTACTCAGAATTACTTGATACTCTCAAAAAAATTTTCAAAGATTTCCTCTATTTTTTTAAAACTGTATAAAAATGTTTTTTATGTATCAAGAACTCTAGGTATTCACAAAATACTTCTGTTAAGCTGATCAGAACTATGCGACCTTGAATTTCGTTAAAAAGTTAGCACCCCATTTTTAAAAAATTATTAAAAAATGATTATTAAGCGCATATGTCATTAAAAATAGAGAACTCTTCGTATCGTCAAAAAGAAGCAGAAATTATCATCAGAACTATCGTATGTAAAAATTAATTTTTCAAAAATTTTTAATTTTTTTTTAATATTCGAAAATTTTTTTTACATATCAGGAATTCTAGGCAATCGCAAATTGAAGCTATTAAGCCGCTCAGAACTATTCACCTTGAAATTCGATAAAAAGTTAGCACCCCATTTTTAAAATATGTAAAAAAAAATGTTTATTGAGCGGAACTCTTTTTGTTAACTATAGGGAACTCTTCATCTCGTCAAAAGGAAGTGGGAACTCTAATCAGAACTCCTGAGTACTATAGTTGGGGTGCTAACTTAACATACCCGCAGTTATTTCTTAATAAATTCTATTACATTATTATTTATTGAACAAATATTATTTTAGCATACGTAAAGAAAGAGAGGGAGATCGTGAAGCAGTTCTAGCAGCACTAGTTTGCCGAACTTTCCACGATCATACTATGGTTTTTCTACAAACGAAAAAACAAGCTCATAGATTACATATTTTATTAGGATTATTAGGTATAAAAGTAAGTAAATCATTATAATTAGAATATAATAAAGTTTAAAAAGAATCAGAACTTAATGAAGAGTATAACACTAATTTATCTCTTTTTCTTGTATTCAATAAGGTTGGAGAACTTCATGGTAATCTTACACAACCACAACGTTTGGAAAATCTTCGAAAATTTAAAGATGAGGAAATTGATATTTTGTTAGCAACTGATGTTGCTGCAAGAGGTTTAGATATAAGTGGTGTAAAAACCGTGATTAATTTCGTGATGCCTGCAACTCTTCAACATTACATACACAGGTATGAAAGAAAATTTCTAACATTGTTTATATATTGTGTAATAACAAAAACACTATTTTCATAATTTTTAGGGTAGGGAGAACTGCGAGAGCAGGGCGTGGAGGTGTTTCTGTATCGTTAGCAGGAGAACAGGAACGTACTTTGGTAAAAAAAATTATCAAACAAGCGAAAAATCCAGTCAAAAATAGGATAATACCGTCTGACATAATAGAAAAATATAATAAGAAATTAGAATCTTTGGAACCAGATGTGCAAAAAATTTTACAAGAGGAAAAGAGTGAAAAGGAATTAGCTAAAGTAGAGAATGAAGCTAATCGTATTGAGAAGATACTCAAAGTTGAAGATGGGAAGGAACACAGAAGTTGGTTTCAATCCAAAAAAGAAAGAAAGAAAGAGAAAGGTAATTTATTAATACATACTCTTTAAGTTTTTATATGTATAATACTTTTCATTCTAATAAAAGAGACAATGAATAATAAAACATGCCATTGTTAACTACTTAAATTTTTATACTTTTAGACAATCTTCGATTAACTAAGAAACAAATTGGTAAGAACAAAAAGCATGAAAAAGATCCTTCTAATATAGTACAAGAAAAAAAGAAGAAAGCACAAAACGAACCTCAAAAGGATACAGCCGAAGATAGAGCTAAGAAAGAATTAGAAAAAATAGCCGCTTATCAAGCGCGATTAGCTAAAAAAAGTAACAGGCAGAAGAAAATTAGAACGGTTATGAATGAAACCAATTATGATTATGCTAAAAAAGGTATAACTTTATATATTATAATTTTGTATTTATATGTGAAAGGAATTGTCGATTCAATAAATTCTATTATTTTAGGATCATTGAAACGACGAAAATCATCGTTTGCCACTGATTTAACAGATACTAGCAAAAAGGGTGTTAAAAGAATGCGATATGAGTATGTTTTAAATTATTTTTTAAATTATTTTTTATATTATAAAAAATATCTATAATATATAAGATATATAATTTCTTTTGTTTCAGGGCAAACAAGAAAAAAGATGTTAAGAAAAGACAGAATATATTTAAGTCACAACAGAAAAGTAAATTTGCAACAAAAGGAAAAAATCAAAAGAAATTTAAAAATCGCTAATTTTGTAATACACATAATTGTACAATTAAATGTAAATGCAACGTTTACTTGATTTGTTTTATTATAGAACCATTACAATACGCCATATGTCTCACAGATCGACAGATGAATAGCACTGATTAATTGGTTTAATCAGATTGTATATTTTTATGTATATTTTTCGTAATTTATGAAAAAATTGCAGTACTATGCAAAAAAATGGTCGTGTACTTAGAAAAATATTTGCATCATATGCCAATTAATACAGATGTATTTAGTGATATTTACTGACGAATAATATAAACGATCATATATTCAGCGAGAAACTTGATGCTGTGCATAAAAAAAATATTGGTAATAAGAACAAAAAAAAATAATAGCTCATAAATTTGAATTATGCAATGTTACAAGATGCATTGTACTGTAATTTCTATGAAAAGAGATAATAGATATATGTTTATTCTATAATATTTATACGATTTCAATCATCCATCACCATTCAGAAATTCATACGCATTTTTTTCATCCATGTTTAAATTTAAGATAGTTGAATGTCTAAGTTTAATAATTATGTTTTTTGAAAACTTAAATCTTTAAAACCTAGGCCCACAATTCATACGAAAAATCTCTTCTATGTTTGAAATATTTAATAAATAAAATTAAAACGCGTTTATCTTCTCTTCATACACATTAAGTTGTAAGAATTGCATATATATTGATATAAATTAAGGTATTACGCAATAATCTTTTGCAATCGGTGTAATTTTAATTTTATGTTTATTTATAAATACAAAAGTTGAAGGTTTTCGCAATATTCTTTTTTCTTTATTATTACACATAGGTCATATTTAATGTGTAATCATAATAATCGCGACGAAAGTGTGGCGATAATTGTTCTTAAAAACCAACAACTTTGGATCACAAAGCCAATAGACACACAAATTCTTATCTAATATGTTTATGCAACAAAACTATAGTATTTTCCTTTGTTATTTAGAAAGTGACGATTTAATTAATATCTATATCTGGATATATCTCTTTTTTAGAAAGAAAGTTATTTTATTTATTTTTTTATTAATAAAGTATGTCGACAATATTGTTTGATATATGTATACTTATTTGTTTAAACCAAAAACATGTCAAGTCAAAGATGAATAATGGTCACAGACCAATAAGAGTTCTGCTTCCAGAAAATTTGTTATAAAAATTCATTTTGACTTTATAGAGACCAAGAAATGTTTTCGTTATATCATAAATTAATGCATTCTATTATTTATAGTCCCGTTCTCACAATACATAGTTATCTAAAGATTAAAGGTTACCAAAAAATTCATGGATAAATTTTATTGATACTTAAATCTCTCGAAAAGCTATATTGAAAATGGACTATAAAAGTAACAAATGAAAAATATGTAATATTTAATTTGTTGACAACGAAATAAACATATTTAAGAATATCCATATATATATATATATATTTGCGAAGAATTAATAAACTTTTCGTTCTATTTCTTTTTTCTTTCCTGCTCAGTTGCAAGTCTGGAGAACTCTTTGCATTACAAGTCTGACATTACTGTCATAATCTTAACATCTTACACTCTAGAATACACGAACGACTTAGGTTTATTAATTGTTATACATAACCAAAATATTCAGTTTTCTAATTTGTGAAGTATCTTTTAGATTCTTTATTTCTCGTATCATCATGTTCTTTAAGTCTTTCCCCTTCCCAATATTCCCCAGGTATAATCTGATCACTGAGAATTATTTATTTACTTTATCCGATTCCCTTAATGCCCTTTTCGCTGGTGGTTCCTCGATCTAAAACAAAAAAATTAATCAATTCAGATGTTGTGCATTAACAAATTTATCACAACCAAAGAGAATTTTACCTCTTCTTCTAAACCAGGCAGTTGAATCCTGGTCTCTGATGCTTCCGCAGGCTGAAAATAAAATTATCTCAATACATCTTATCAAACATATCTTATTAGTATTTCTAGGAAAAATAATTTTTAGTAAAAGCATACACGTTATCCTAAGATCACGCCAAAATTACCTGTGCATCGATACATTCCATTTCACCATCTTGCAGCTTGAAATCATAATTATACAAATTCGAAAATTTAAATTTATGAGATATTTTATTATCGTAATTATTTTGTTAATATGTATTACCGTAATACAATTAATAGAAATATCTATCATTATTTACATGTATACAGAGTTAAGAAATTGTTTTTAATTTAAATTAAATGAATTAGGATATCCAAAAATAATTGAAAACTTGTTTGAAAAAAATTATCTTACCCTTGCGTCTGTTTCATTAGGTCCAATGCCTACTTCCTTGTGCTGTTTGGATTTAGCCTTGCGCTGTGGTCTCTCAACCGTGTGTGTAACGTGGAATCCTTGTGATCCCTTTACTTTTGGATTTGTCATGCTCACTTGTAATTCCGCAGGTAAGTAACTTTTATTATGATTATTTAATGTTTCATCTGTCCGTTTAAAATACATTGTAGGAATTCGCGTTTCGCTCGGAAACTCCTTCATATCGAAATTAGTAGTCTTGGTGTATATTACGTTCATCGCCAAATCACAAACAGCCCACAATTTCTGTACGTGACAAAAATAAAAATTGATTTAATCATGCATAATTATTTAGACAAAATTAAATCTGATTTATAATAATTACGCAATTCATTTCGTTGTCCTCAGGTTTTAATGCATCTTTGTGACTCTTCATGCGTTCTACGAGATTTCTATAAAATCCGTAGCAGTAATATTCATTCTTTGTAATAAGAGGTTCCAAGATGAACCAAAGACATTGTTGAATAACTTTCAACTGGCTCACCATCACATGACTTGTAAATTCGGGGTCATGCGCGAGAATAGGTACCGCAAAAACTAGCATGTAATCCGGCAAAATATGGGGCAGTTGATCTGAAAAAATTACAAAATATCAAGGAGAGAAAAACATTACAACAAATCATGATTCTACAAAACACGTTACTATCAAGAAACACTATTCAATATATACATGTCGATTTTGATGAAACTTTTATTACTAAAAGTGCTTGCAAATTAATCTCATTTCATCGGCAATCATCAATATTTAATAGAAAAAAAATTAGAAAATGTTTATAAAAAACTGATAAAAGTCGAAAAAATATGAGAAAATTACACTGTTAATGGTGGATTCGTATTCAGCAAGTAAATCTATGTTAAAAATAACTATTCACTTATATTGCGAAATGCATCAATGTGTAATTTTTTAAAATTTTTGTGTTTTCCATAGATGTACCTTTTCCTAACATTGAGACGATTGTCGATGGAATAAGTATTGTTATTCACTTTGGAATTTTTAATAATAAAAATTTTTATAAAAATTTTGGCTTGTATACATTGAGGTAGTGTTCCTGTTAGCAAAATTTATTTTGATATCTATGGTTCACTATTTAATCTCTTACCCATAGCCCGTTCGACAGTACCCATTGAAAGAGTCTTCACGTAATCTCTCCTTTTATTTATGTCTGTCTGCATATACGTTTTGAATACACACTTTAACCTCTTGTCTTGTTCCTTGCCAGCCAGAGCGTAATATCCCATGAAATCCAGGGGTAAGCATTTGTTTGGAATTCCTCTTCCTAGACCTTTGTGCAGTTTACTACCAAAAGCTTCTCTGACTTGAGGAACTTCATCCTAGGTATCAAGTCAATGAAATGAATTATGATTAACATTTATTTTTCAAATCATAATCATTCATCATTTATTACATCATAAAACAGATTTATGTTGAACATACCACCATGAGTTGCGAAAGATTGTAAAATTGTTCTGCAGTGAATTGATCACCCACACCTTTCTGTTCGCATATTTTTAACATTGAGCAACCAGCTTGTAATCTTAACCAACTCATTTCAGCTTTACTCAAGCGTCCCTGAGACAACAAGTCACCTTTGTTCACCATGAAAGCATTCAACATTCTGAATGTCTTTTGCGCTGACAGTACGTCAGTTTTCAATCCTAATAACCAACGCGCCATGCACTTTAAACCTTCCAATCTGCATCGTGTCTCTTCGGGTAATTGATCCTCTCTGCACCAATCTCCGTCAATAATTTCGGAATTTTGCTCACTATTTTCCTTCACTAGTAATTCTTTAACTATCTGCATAAGTAAAGATCATATCGTATACAATAAAGCATTATAAACTAGAAAACTACTGTAATTTAATATTATAACTTCATTGCACTTACTTTTCTGGACACCATATTTTTTATTTGTACTTGATATTTTTCTGGCAAATTATATGCTATGTGACCTAATGTGACTATAGACGTTCGATAATATTCCGACGTCGGTGTCAGCGTGTTCTTAATTCTTTCGATGATCTCGGGAAAGATAGTATCGTGAATATTGGTCATGTTGACATATAGACATCTCACAGCTTGCTTTGCCTGCTTCGGTGTTCCCGTCTCAGCAAAATTCTTGCAAATCGGTATCATAAGATTCATAATGTCTGGCGCTACATCACATAGAGGTTTATATTTTCCCAGAAACGTAAAGATAGACAAAACCAACGGTGCTACCATCTCATCCTCTAATTCCAGCAAATTGACAAGTTGCATCAAGATATCGTTATGTAGGAAATGTGGACCAAATACAAATGAGAGCATCTGAAATATTTCGGATATATATACATATAACATATTTATAATTTTAATTATAAAATTATAATTTCTAAATGTAAAAAATTTATATTAACGTATATATTCAATTAGTTTTAGGATACTGAATTGTCGATTTACCACTAGTAATCTTAATCCTTTTTCCCCGGCATTATTTGGATTAAGACCAACTTCTTCTATCACATTACCGCCTTTCAAACAGTCTAAGACATATCCAATCAAAACCTAATTTGCACATATATATGGTTATTAAACATTTCTTCATAAATAAAAAGAAATATATGATAGATTTTAAAAGACGACTTACTCGAATTGCTTCTTCATCAATCATGACTGAGCTTACTCTTTCGAGCACCATCTTAATAGTATTATAATACAGATTAGTCATAATGGGCTGTCCTAATTTTTTGAGAACCTTAGTAATGGTTTCAGCGCATTCCTTACAGGTAACATTTGGTTGCACAATTGTTTCCATTTCTTGTAACAATACGTTATCTTGCTTCATATGAGTACTAAATCTTTGAAGAAACTCCTGTACTTTCATAGACTCTGGTAAGAAACGTGATATCTGAAGAACTTTCGCCATTAGTTCGTTTTTCACGTCTGATTTTTTTACAACGTCTACCCATTCAACTACTGCCCTTCGCACCCTGAATATATACATAAAAAATTAATTTGTATTAGAGCAAAGACATCCTTACAACATGAAAATAAATTGAACACACACACACACACACACACACACACACA